TTCTCTCTAATAATTTCCACATTAAAGATATTAAGCGTTCCATCACAAAATACACTTCACCACAACCTTTCAATAGCAATGAAGCCGAAAGCAATCCCACACTTCCCACTGTTGTCCTAAAGAAATATTACGTCAAAACCAGATTTACCACTTGCCTTCGATCCGCCATAGACAAAATTCCATTTGAGATGCCAGGAGTTTACAGCATTCTATATCTATCTATATATCTATAAGTAACCTAACAATCGTAACCGCGACTCAGATGTTTACCTGTCACCAATATGAGACGGTGTTTATGCCCCTCATTTAGCTCCGCCCCCATCAAACAATATATAGGCAGGTACAGAGTAAAATACGAGCCAGTTTCAGTCAAGCTCTGAAGAAGCCAACAGAATGATTGGCGAAACGTTACCAAGTTCGATTCAAGAAAAACCGATTCCAATAAACGTAGTAATAATAAATTTAGGAAAATAAAAAAAAAACACATACATTTGGTTAGTTTTTTTAATTGTCTACGAGGTGTTTTCAAAAAGAAAGGTGACTTGTAATGTACATTCGATTTTTTATTTTTTTTTGTTATGTTGGTACATGTCCCTAACATATGTTCAAAGTTTCAGCCGGTGAGCACGTTTCCGTTTTTTCTACGTGAGAAAGAAGCATTGCACGTGTTTTGTGTGCTTGGCGATTTTCTGCTGTCACAAAGAGTTTGCATAAAATTTTAGGCAAAAAGTGGCCTACAGTGTTGTAAAACACTTGAAATGTTAACAGCGACATATAGTGAATCTACTTCGAGCAAAAAAAAATGTTTATAAGTGGTACAAGCTGTTCCAAGATGGCCACGTCAATAACTGATGAAAGCGTCGAAGAAGTGAAACAAACTTTGTGATAAAACTTACAAATCACCTTTTTGGTGTTGGCGGTGGTGTAATAAAGTTGTGTAAAGTTATAATATATATAATAAAAGTTTGTTGTACATTTACTCAATACTCAGAGCTGAAGCTCGGGAGGATGGAAAAGCATTGATTAACTCCCTAGCAAAAGACTTCCAAGCGACCATGGGGCATAAAGAGACGCAATAATTCTTTTCCTAGATTTCTCGATTTAGGAACAAAACAAAAATAAATGGTGTTAGAAAATCAACGTGTTAAACATTCAAATACTTTCTGTTAAATCTGACAGACATTCTTTAAAGAAAAATTGAAGTGCGAGGTTAAAAATTGTTTCAGAGAAAGTTAAAACTTTAGTATAAATATCATATACTCGACACTTCCCGTTCACAATCTAAACGTCAAATTTTGGTCGACGATCGAATCCCTTTTGTTCGACGGAAAAACTTACATGCCGTTTAAGAGGAACAACAAATATTGAAGGATCAGTTGTCGAACAAGCGATAACGGAATTCCCCAGAGATAAATCTTTATCGCTGCGAAAAACAACTCGCAAACAGAGGTAGGACGTTTTCTTGAATGCTTAAAATAAAAACCTGTCTAATTTTTCAGCGCTTAAGGGGGCGGAGCTAAACGAGGCGCCTCAACATTGTCTCGAAAGAATGATTCCTATATTGGGGAGTGGTAAAGACCCAACTCCTGAAAGCAGATAAAGAAAATGCTACGGTGGCGATGAACCCGAATGTATATCAGGAAAAGATTCAAAATATTCTTACAGATCGTCAGCTTAAAAAAGATCCAACGTCATCTATGAAACGTAAGCTTAAATCTGTTATTAAGGCTCCTTCTCTATCAGACTCCGTGAAAAAATCTGTCACCCCGCATAACTCTAAAATTGCTCGTCTCTACGGACTCCATATGATTCAGAAACCAGGATTACCGCCTTCGACCTATTGTCATCACCATCAGTTCTCCAACATATTCTCTAGCCAAATATCTAGCTTACTTATTAAAACCGTTTACCGTGAAAACTAATGCTTTCGTATTTAATTCCTTTCACTTCATTGGAAAATTAAAAAGCATAATATTAGATACACAAGATATGTTGGTTAGTTTCGACGTACAATATTTATTTACTAACGTTCCTATTCCTGCAACTCTCAACATCATTTCAGATATATTAAAATCCGAGAATCTGGATTCAAACCTTCTCACCTTAATTGAAAAATGCTTGTCTCAAACATATTTTGCTTATAACGCTCAAATTTTTGAACAAACGACAGGAACAGCTATGGGTCCTCCACTATGACCAGTCATCGCAAGCATATTTATGGAAGCCTTTGAGAAGAAAGCACTCGACACCTTTCATCTAAAACCAAAATTATGGAAACGCTACGTTGATGATAATTTTGTTATTTGGCCTCATGGTTAAGAATCCATAGTAGATTTCTTAGACATTTAAACTCTATACATCCTAACATACGTTTTGCTACTGAATTAGAAACTAATATTAACCTCCCATTCTTAGATATTCTTATCAATAGAAAATCAGACCTACGCACATAGACCGGTCCAAAAATCATGGGTTATCAACTCTCTTGTTTAAAATTATCTCAGCTCGAGTCACTGAACCTAGATTTAAAACACCTTACCTTACCTTACATTGAAAACATCACTGCCCACATATCAAAAGTTCTAAAGTAATCTAACGTCAAAATCAGATTTACCACTTGACACAAAGATAAAATTCCATTTGAGATGCCAGGAGTTTACAGCATGCCATGGATATGCGGAAAAGAATACATTAGACAGATATGACATCAACTAGGCTCAAAGAACTTGAAATGTTGTCGAACACAATCGCGAAACCGGACATAAACTAAAACTGAAATTCTTGCATGTAATCGATTCTGTATAGTCTATAGAAATCTTGCTTATAGATTTCCTAACCATCTTAACTCAGGTCCTTACCTGGCACCAATATGGGAACCAGTCATCCGAGACATTGTTTATGCCCCTCATTTAGCATAATTGTCCCCATTCATAAGAAGGGAAATAAAATAATCTACAATAATTATAGGGGTATATCGCTTATTAACACCTCATACATAATAATAGCAAATATCCTTTTACATAGACTGACACCACATGCAGAAAATATAATAGGAGAATATCAATGTGGTTTTAGACCCAATAGATCAACCACAGATCAAATTTTCTCCATACGGAGGAATTCATCATTTATTTATAGACTTTAGACAGGCATATGATAGGGTGAAGAGGACCGCTTTGTGGGAATCCATGTCAGAACTCTCCATCCCAGCAAAACTCATAGCACTGATAAAGATGTGCGTTAGCGGCTCAAAAAGTGCTGCCCATATAGGAACATTGTCAGACTATTTCCACATAAACAACGGCCCACGACAGGGAGATCCCCCTTGTTTTTCCATATCGCCCTAGAAAAAGTCATTAGAGATGCAGAAGTGAACCTAGAAATTTTTTCACCAAATGCGCTACACTTGCTTCTGGCATACGCTGTCATTGATAAAATGTCACAATGGGAGACTACAATTTCGAAAGAGTGACTAGTTTCAAGTATTTAGGAGTGACGATAACAGAGGACAACAGCATAACAGAAGAACTAAAAAGCTGAATCCAGAGCATAAACCGATGTCTCTTTGCTCTTTCTGGAGTCCTTAAATCTAAAGTGGTATCGCGAAAATCCAAAATTAAAATCCATAAAACCATACTAAGGCCGATACTAATGTATGGGTGCGAAAGCTGGACAAAGACGAAACAAAACGAGAGAAAACTGAGGTGTTTTGAAAGAAAATTCCTAAGAATAATCTTTGGGCCTGTAAAAGATACTGAAATGGGAAACTACAGACGAAGAAACAACAATGAACGGAGAAACATACATCAGGAAGCGGACATTGTCCAGGAGACTAAATCCAAACGACTAAGATGGCTTGGACACATAGAACGTAGTCCAGAAAATAGAATTACAAAGCTAGTCTGCAGTGACAATCTAGACCTCGTTTAAGATGGCGAGATAATATAAAATCAGATCTCAGGACAATGGGATACACGTACCAACCCCAAATGACAGAAGACCATCAGGAATGGAGGCGAATTGTAAACCCAGCCAAGAACCACCCAGGGTTGTAGTGCTACTGATGATGATGATGATTTAGCTCCGCTCCCCTCAAACAATATATAAGCAGGTACAGAGTAAAATTCGAACCAGCTTCAGTCAAGCTCTGAAGTAACCATCAAGATGATTGGCTGAACATTAGCAAGTTCGACTCAGCAAAAACCGACTCAGGAGGAGTGAAGAAGTTTAGAGTAACCTGAAGAATTAAACTTTTGATATGTAATATGTTTTGAATGTAAGGAAGAACAATAGTGGCAAGTGTGGGGTCGCTTTCGGACTCGTTTTTTAAAGGTTGTGATAAAGTCTATTTTGCGATTTTCAGTTCAGTGGCTTGGGCCGAGATAGTTTTACGACTCTGTAAACAAGAGAATTGTGTGTTTAGGTTGCCGTAAACAGAATGGCCCAATGTTAGGTTTGATTTTCTACCAATAAGAGTGTCTAAGAGTATCAGATTGTTACTTGTTTTTAATGCAATGGCACAACGTATGTTAGTGAGTTGTAAGTCCAAATAACAAAAGTCTCATTAACGTGGCGTTTCCATAATTTTGGTTGGAGACAATCTTTTTTCAATGAAGATGAAAAGGTCTGATTCCCGATTCTCGATTTTTAACGTACCTGAAAAAATATTGAGAGTATTCTAGGTCGAACCTAATCCGTATTGACGATATATCGAAGGAGTAATCTAGGGATTCGCTAGAGGCGAGGTGGCTTTCCATAGATGACTTCGAATCTTTTTTAAGTTGACGACAGAAGAATATCTCGAATGTATTCCCGTGTTTGTCATCATCTTTATCTGCAACGCGTTATCAGATCCAGAAGGCTTGAAGAATTGCGAACAATTCTTCGAAAAAAATCGACAATCGACGTGACGTCGCCGCCTCGATTCCTGCTACTCGGCGATCCTGCGGGGCGGTCGTCGCCCGCTCCTGCGTGCCGCGGCTCCAGTCGAGAAACGATCGTCGGTCGGCCATCTCGTCCGTTCTCAGCGCGTTCCTTTCAGTTCCAATTTGTCGAACGCGCACAATGCTCCGTGGATTTGTGCAATCCGAATCAAGGTGGCCGGTACTTTCACTCCGAGGGAGCCGCGCCGGTCGTTACGCAATGTAAAACGAGTTGCATACGTCGCGAGAGAGGAGAGAAAAAACGACGCGTTTTAACGGAAACGTCAGAGTGCGTATGATCGGGCGCCGTTTCGACCCTTTGTGTGTGGATTAACGTGTTTTCCAGAACGCGCGACGCAGCAGCGCCCGAGGTAAATCAGTCCGGACCGTTTTTAGAGGTTATGTTTGCGCGAGTTCTTTGTTCTCGGGTCGCGGTGCCGCGGCACTGCGTTTGATAGCGATTATGGCGTTCAAAGTGGCCTCCCGAGCTTCACTTATGGCCTGTGTCGATCTTCATCGATAAATCTTTAACGATGTTATTATACTTGCACCAGAAATATAGTGCTTTTACAACCGACCCAGTGATTAACTTTGCCTACCCTGCCGTAACCATTCCAGGACCGTCCTACCTACGCGATCAAGCGGGATATAAGTATGCTGTCAATCTTTTTCGCCGAGCAATTCTTGAAACATGTTCTACACAGTATCGGTCACTGAAAAAATCGCCACTATCGCTACTGCGTCACCTAGTTGAATTCTTTGAGATTCCATTAGTACTTGACGTTTAGTATTTGTTTGGAACTGAAAATCCATTTTCTTCAAAAAAGTACCCAACGACTCTTTGGTATAACTAACGTTTATGTCGGTATGCAGTTCTTCTGGGGTTAGAACATTATTTACTTTACATGTTCTTTAAAAACTCGCCAAGTACCAGCATCTTCCCTCACTTTCCTCTTGACTATATTTGTAAGAATTTTGCTTAGAGTTGACTTAGGAACTTTGGTCATGTCACTTGATTTTACGGCTGTTCCTAGTTCCCGTTTTGAATTTCTTATAAAATTGTAAACATTCAAAGCAATTTGTTTAGCATCCGAAGACATATTTGCTGAGGTAGTTCGTCTTCTAAATTGTCATTAGGATCGAATACTATCTCCACTTCGTCTTCAAATTTCAAAAAACTTCCGGACTCAAAACTTTCAAAAAATGCGCAAAGCTATGTAGAAGACACAAAAATACAAGAAGAATAATGTTGTTAACCAACAGGCACACAAGACAAAAATGATCATTTTCAAACGTACCTTTAAGATAAATCGAATGCACTCTCACCCTTTGAAATATCCAGTGAAAACAGCCACGCAGGGTCGAAAATATGCCGCAGCATCGATGCTTAATCAAATTTAAATTGGTCCATTTACGTTTCATAAGTATATATTTCAAGTTTTTACAAATATTCGTTACGGTCCATCTCAGGAAGACCTACTTAATGCAGAATAAACATCTGTCACGGTCCTGCAAAGGTCTGTGGTTAAGGTACTGTAAGATACTTAAAACGTCAAAGCAATAAATGCACTATATTTTTGGTCGTATTATATAAAACATTTATTCTTGCTGCTTGCTGTTGTCTGCAAAGAATATTAAGGATTCTTGCTTAGATTATCACCAGGATAGAAGTGCCGGCGATTTAAAAATATTCTCTAATAATTATTATTGTCATAGATATAGATATTTATAGTCAGGCTACCACAGCCGCCTGCTACACAAATCCAAAAACTGAAATCCAGGAATATTTGTTAGAAATTGATATTTATTTTCAATTCAGCTACTTTAAGTAAATGTAATTAATTACATACCAATTGAGAGATGAAAAATTTCAGTACAGCACATTATAAACATTGAGAACTCTTACATTTCTACAATCTCAATGACGATACTGGTAGTCAAACAGCTATGCACTTATTGTATAGATTTAATACCATTGTTTTTTCTTGGTGTAACTTAATAAGATCGTACCAACTAAATAACCAAAAAAAATTAAGTTATTGAGAGCCCCTCTTTTAATCCCTGATATAAAATTTAAAATTTTTAATTTAATTTTAATTTAAAAAAAAAATACTGCACTTGTTGCACAGTGGACCGTGGATGCTTGGTTTTCAAAAATTTCAAACAACTTAAGTAATTTCCTGACAGCAAATTGGATAATGTCTGGTCCTTCACACAAAGTATGGGTATGATTCTAGTGAAGATTGTCAGAGGAGTGCTTCTTATAAGAGTCGTCATAATTCTCGTTTATTACAAACCGCGAAGAATATTAATGACGTCATAAAAGTGAGGAAATTTTTTAACACTAGCTTGCACTTAATTTATGAATTAATTCAGTTCGGTTCGGTGGTGATTCAAGGAATTGTAAGTAGTTGTTCTTGCCATATTAAGCTGGTTTATAGCGTCCTGATTCTTCCTCAATTTGAGTAATAATCTCCCCTTCTATATTTGAAGCATCAACAGAATAAGATCAACTTTTGTTCTTCACTCTATCAATTGGTACTCCGTTCCTGCAGTGCCTAAGTGATATAAATTTTGTATTGGATCTTGCTTATGCGTAAATATTATAATTTGATTGTGCTGCAGATCGGTACACCTTAACACTACTAGACGCCCATACACCATCTGGGAAAAAATACTCTACCATTTCGAAAGAAAAGTACCACAAACTTGGAGCAGAACGGTAGATAAACTAAACGCTTCGATTGCCTGAAAAAAATAAATATTCCGACACCTTTTGGTTAGGTTCACGTGATTTCGGAAAGAAATCATGCGAAAACTAATCTTGGAAACTACTTCATATGTTTCCATATCGTCTTTATCATCAAATAAGATTCTTAATTACAGATTGCAGGTCCAACTCTGGTCTGTTGCAGCTGTCACTGGCAAAGTTCCTCCTTTCGTCAGACTCCGCAGATGAGTCAAGTTTTTTTCGTTAGTATTAACGACCAAAACGAAAGTCGTGAGGAAAATACGTCGGCGCTTGCGTCATCGAGTAAATCGTGCGCTTATTTTCACTTTTGCCGACACGTAATAGGAATTCGCCATCGATTTTTTGCAAACACGCGCTAAGATAGACCGAAGACTGTGAAATCGATTAAGGCCCCAAGTATCTCGCGTTCATTTTTCGACGGAAGGGGGTTTATGCGTGCATGTGTGAAATTACAACTTCTCATTTGTGCATTCGCTATTTAGATGTAATTTTTACCAATATATAAGTATCGAGGGGCCTCTATGGCATTTGCGGCATAGTTAGTCCAAAGCTAATATGCGTGTTACGGGCTCGATTTTCGAGAGAAGTAGACAACTAAAAACCGTATCGTGATATTTCAAAACGTTTCTGAGCTACAGGGTGATTCTTAAAAATGTGCGTTTCTAAAAACCCTCCATAACTTTTTTATTTGTTGATTAGATTTTAATTGAAAACATTTTTTGAAGATTTTTTAAGGGCAAATCTACCTGTTTCACCGTTTTTGTCTTAAAGCCTTTAATCCACGAGGTACAACATAAGGTTATATTTTTTTAAATGGGATACCCCTAATTTTTCTAAACAATCAGTTTTTTCATAAAATTTCCTGCCGAACGATGTGCCATACACCTATTTTATTAAACTACCAACCCTAAAATAATAAACGGAAATTAAATTATTAAAAGCAATTTTTTTATTTAAAATTTTTATTAATTAAACTATTAAACGGGCGTTTTCTTGTAAGCATATCTAACATCTTTTTTTGATGCTATTTTCTGCATTAAGAAGTTCTACCCCACGAAGCTGTCTGAATGCAGTACGAAGTGCCTCCTCCATTTCCCTTCTAGTTGGGCGATTTCGAAATACAAGGCCTTGATTCTCCCCTACAAACAGAGGTCGCAAGGGATCAGGTCTGGAGACCTGGGGGGCCAATACATAGGATCTTTAGTTCCGATCCAGTTTTCGGCACACACATTATTTAGCAAATTAATTATGTGTCGTGCATTCTTTGATTGTCGATAAACGATGCTCTTCCAGAATTTGTTAGTATCTTTCGGCATTTAGATTTCCATCACTAGAAATCCTTATCTCATCCGTCCAAATAACTTTTCTGGCAAAATCGAGGTCTTCTTGGCGTTTGGCAAAGTGTACGTCGTGCAGCAAAATCTCGTTGCCGTAATTGATGCACCCGTCGGGATCGATAGGGTCTAAACTTGTGTTTTTTAAGCACCCGGACGAATTCCAGTGTTTCTCTCCATAGCCCTGGTGGAAGTATTCGCTTTAATTTCTATTTCTCCCAGAACCTTGAGTTCTTCTAACTCTCTATCTTTGGCTAGGCTTCTATACGTCCTAGGCCGCGGTTTTGTAAAGGATCCGTATTCTTGTAGATGACGTTTTAACTTTAAAAATATTTTTGAGCTAGGTTGCCTTCTTGCCGGATATCTCTGGAAATACAGGTTTAACGGGGTCCGTCGATTTTCGGTACTTTCAATATAACATCTTATCATGTAGTATTTGTGTTTATGTGATCACAGCTAACTAGATAGATACCGTAAAACTGCATAGGTCAGAGTTAAGCACAGCCTACTATGGTAATTATTACAAATTGCAGATATCTTTTTAATTACTTAATAAAAATACGTTTATGGCACATCATTAGACAGGAAATTTTATTAGAGAACTTTTTTGAAAAGATTGGGGTATTCCATTTAAAAAAAATGTAATTTTGTGTTATATCTCGTGAACTAAAGGCTTTAAGACAAAATCGGTGAAACAGGTAGATTTGCCCTTAAAAAATGTTCAAAAAATGTTTTTAATAAAAATGTCTACCTTTACGAATAAAAAAGTTTCGGTTAGTTTTGGTCACCCTGTGGCTCAGAAACGCTTTGACATATCACGATGCGGTTTTTAGTTGTCGACTTCTCTCGAAAATCGAGCCCGTAACATGCATATTAGTTTTGGGCTAACTATGCCGCAAATGCTTAAATTCATAGACGCCCCTCGAATTTGGACCACCCTGTGCCCTTTACAGTCAACCGTTGTCTAACAAAAATGGTTAGCCGTAAGCGATCTCGATTCGAATTTGCCGTAGAACGTCGCGCCTTGAGCCACATCGAATATACGCGCGCGTACGGTAGGCGTTTAAACTTTCTACTCCGGGTTACAATTAAAATTATGATATATTCCTTTAAATGTTAATGCGGCGATATAAATCACACTTTGACGCAATACGGGTACTTGCACAACCTCTTAATTTCTTCAACGTTTCATTGTTACGTCGGAAGGTTCTGTGGAAAGGCCGTTCTGCGATGCGAGAACCGAATTCGTTTGATCGGGTTCGAAGAGAACGACTTAAAAATTTGG